GTCTAAACTTCTGCCTGCATTGTTCAGATGATTTAAACTGGTTTCAACTCATCTTTGCCAGTCTAAGATGTGAGAGTTTCCACTGTCACGGTGGTTAGTTTTACTGAAAAGCAATTTATTTTTCCTTTTTTTAGAGACTGTGCTCGCAAGTGTGTATTTTTTTTTTTGTCTATATATGCATTTCCCATAGAAGGACCTATGTTTCATTGACTACACTCACATACTAAATCTTGAAGTGGTTATAAATGAACTACAGCAATGAAATAGTAGCTCATATTTTCCAAATCCAACATGTTCGCTATTTATGACTAAAACAATGCTCGCTCTGTCCGTGCTTTTTAAATGTCATCTAGCCGCTTGTCAGCTTGGGACACTGAGGTTGATGGACAGCAACAGCCATGAACTCATGCTGCTTTGTGCCAGCATTCAAACCATGACATCATATCCCCTGCATGGGGTCCACCAGACCTCAGCTTCCTGCTTGGCATCATGATGCTTGACGTTGTGTAAATAAATTAAGCAATAGCACAGGTAGTTATAGCTCTGTAGTCTGGCCGAGCATAGACAGGTACAAACACACACACATGCTGTGTGCCAGACTGTGACATAAACTAATGCAATAAAGTGTCAAATCAACCTCTCCAAATAATGAACTCCAGCCTATGCTTGGCTGAAGGATAACGTACCTTTGAAACACCCAGTTATTTTTCTTTTCACTTAAAGTGGCGTTTGGTGTTTGACCTCTGACTCGCTCTCTCATTTTTCCTGTTTAAAAGAGGTTTCTAATTGAAGCAGGTGGGATCCAAGCTGCTTGGAGCTCACAGATCTCCTCTGGTCATGTGGACTGAATTTAACAACCTCTTTAACGCAGAAATGTGGTGCTACACCCACTTCTCAGATGGGTACTGTTTGCTCATCCAGCTCTTGTAAAAAAATGTGCTATGATTGCTTTGTGTAAGGCATTATGTGTATATTTGAATTGATTTGCAGTTGGTCTGTAAACTGAGATTCACATCCAGTTTTGTGATTCTGTGAAGCTTAATTTGAATCTGTCATTTTATGCTCTGCAGGGTTTTTCCAGGCAGAATTGAACATTTGAATCAAGGAAATAGAAGCTTACCAAAAAACATTTTAGGATAGGTGAATTGATTTACTGATGGTTAAGAAGTAAAAAATGACTTTTATTTTGTGATTAGTAATTCTACGACATACAATAGCATACTATACATACTATTACTTGAATTGCTATTGGTATTAATCATAATTTTGCTTGAGTTAAAGTACAGAAGTATTAGCAACAAAATGTACTTCAAATATCAGTATGTCTCAAAATATCTCATTTTGCACATTTACATGTCTGTACATTTAGCTAATTTTGTCATTGGTATAAAATTCCGTTTTCCTGAACAAGTTCTTTTTATTTAATCTGTGGGTATTGTTGTTGATGGTGTTCTTTTGTATTTTCTCTGTCAATTCATTACAGCCTGGCTGCACAACAATTTTCCCTCAGTGGGACAATAAGATAAACTTAAATTTTATAAATTAACCATTTGTTTTATATTTACCTCAATCTGAAAATTAAGTAGGTATAATTTTGTGTTAAATGGAAATGTTAAAAGTAGAATCTCCTCAACAGTATATTTAAATATAGTACTTGAGTTAATGTACGTAGATACTTTCCACCTGTGTTTTTGTGCCTGTGAACATGTGTGCACACGTAGTCGTTGGAATATTCATATAATCAGTGTGCGCCTCAGTTTTTGTGCCACACATGTGTGTTCACTGGGGCGGGGATGACACGCTGGCCTCAGAGCAGCTGGATTCTGCAGGTTTCAGTGTTTTTATGAACTGAATGAATAATCATCCAGGTGTAGCTGCCAACTCAGGAGACAGCACCAATTCTGCCTGGTTACAGAGCTCAGCCAACGAAGAGAAAAACCTGCCGAAACCCCTCACCAAATCCCGTGCTCTGTATTCTGTCGCTGTATTTCTCTCACACTTAGCTCTCCTCACGCTTTTCACTCCCCCCCCCCCCTCTCTGTGCTCTGTGAATCACTCGCTTTGTCTTCTTCTCTGTCTACAGCTTTCGCGCTCCCTCCTCCCCGTTTCTCTCCATTTATTTTTCTTCCTTTTCTGTTCCTGTTTATTCTTGCCTCACAGAAATACACCAGCAGAAAATAAGCTATATTATGAGTAGAAATGATTAAATAAGATTGGAAGCAATAAAACCTTTCACCTATGAGTCAAATTATGATAATCTGTCAACTCTGAGAAAACAATCACTGGCAATGTGGCATGTTACGTTCTGGAGGTGTGACTAATTACTGAGGGGTTTGTTTTTTGGGTGACTTTTCATTTCAGGGATTTGGAGGATATTTTTCTTTTTTGGCAGATGTCTGCTAAACCTAAACTGTGGAATTTATTTTCCTGCGGTGGCTTTTCACAGATGGATTAACAAACTTACAGTCTCAGCCGTGACTCTGCCTCTTCCCTTTCATGCAGACATCTGCTAAATTTTCTAATTTTCTTCAACCCAGCTACACTCTCAACCAATCCAAACTCACACTGGTTTGGCCTGCTTTCTTATTGGTTGTCCACATCAATGAAACAGTCACTATTGGTTTGTAGTAGAGATTCTATTTAGCAGACATAAGCAGTTTTGAAGATTTGGAGAACAAATACTACTTTTGATGTTGGGGCTGTTAAAATTTACTCCAGGCTTAATTACTATTAATACTGAATGCAAATAACTCTGTGTTTGTGTATGCGTGTGTGGGGCGGTGTTCTGTTGATTTTGAATTCTTTTGACACTGTGTGTGGATGTTTGTTGCTATGAATATTAGTGGAAGCAGTCACTTAGCCTACATGTAGGTTTGATTTTTACAATACCTTTGTTTTGCAGACAATTGCAATACACACACACACATGCACACAGACAGCCTAATTCTGTCTGAATAATTTAGCACTTTGATCCAAAACACTGACCACAGGGACACATGACAGTTTGTGTGTGTGTGGGTTTATGTGTGTTTTCATGCACATGTGTAAGCCTGTACTGTACGTCTATGATAATTCACACAGTTAAGGGGTTTCCCTTTCATTAAATACCATTGTTTATCATGTCAGTTTAGCTGTCCCTGACACGTAACTACTGCATTCTCGACCCTTCTTTGCACACATAAGCTGTTTAATGTTTATTTCATTAGTTCATCTAAGCGTGTCTTGACAGTATACTTGCCAATCTGCTTCATGTTTATTTCATGCCTAAGCAGACCTTTTTATCACATGAGGTGTGCATCCAATTTTCTCTTGAGGAACGACAAAATAATGCCACAGGCTCCGTAAGAATAGAGAGGCAAATGGAGGAGCATTTATGCATTTTTGCATTGGAGTGTTTTGATTCTTAGTATGTGGGGACAGGGAAGAGTGTTTACATGTGTGCTTACTTCACCCAGCAAGCCTTTGTCCTTATCCATTCCCCCCCATGTGTCTTCATGCTGGTAGCTATATGTCATGCCTATGGAGCCGACAATAGTGCTCAGTGATCTTAACAGCAACTGTAAGCTTGTTTTCTCTTTAGCCTTGGCCATGACATTTACCTCCCTGCCTCCTTGGCGGCTGGCCGGAATATCATACCTCTATTATCTGTCATCCCTGTGTGTGTGTGTGTGTGCACATGTGCCATAAATAGTTTTAAATAGAGTATGTATCAGAGAAAATACACCTGTGCTATGACTTGAAAAAGCCTTTGGTAATTTCCAGCGTGAAGGGATGCTTGTTGAACAGTGTGTCAGTGTGGGTTACTAAGAGTGTGTCAGGAAGTAGAGATTCTGAATGGAGGATTAATCTAAACCCCCTCTTATAAGATATTCAGATCGGAAAGAGGGATTATTGAAAGTCGGAGAGATGAAAGGAAGAGGGAAAGGGAATGCTCATTTTGGCTCATAACCCCTCACACCAGGCATGCAGGCAGAGAATAATAAACAGTAACAGCAAACAATTTTGTAAAATTTATCTGCATTGTTAGGTTTTATTCTCAGAATAATGCTACTTTTTCAGTACATGTGATGGTATACAAGTTTACTCAGTGTATAGAGAGATTTTTTTCCCCCCACATTGCTTGGGTATTTATCTAAACCATCCATAAAATTCAGCAGGCGTGTATTTTTGTGCCTTTTTGTGCTGCTTGTAGTAACGAACCAACTGCTGGTTCTTTCATGAATGGAGAGGAAATTGTGTGCCTGTATACCTGTTTGTGTGAAAGAAATAAAGTGTAAGAGCTGGATTTTACCTTGTTAAAGTCCAACTGGAATTAAATTGCATTTTTTGGTATGCTACAGCATACATATCTGCTCTGTAAGTTACTTGTGTTTTCATGATGGCGCCCCCCAGTTTTGTATAGATTTTGTGGATTAGCATTAGTTATTTCAATCAAAGTCCTTATAGCCTCTATAAAACGTCTCTGTTTCGATACAGCAAATCACAGGCAGAGCAGATGGTCATACTGAGCCAGACAACACAACAGCCACAGACTCTGAACATCCCACATTGGCTTTCCTACTAAAGTCTCCTTCTTATCTAACATACAAACATGAACATATGCTGTGCCTGTTGAACGAGCGACCAGACCAACATTCACAACCAACATTCAGAGAAAAGTGCACTGCTAACATCAGTTTGTAGACTGAAAGGTGTAAAGTTATCTGCAAATGTCCATTTAGACTCTTCAAAACCTTTAACAACACGTGTCTGCCCTTTACAATACACACTACAGAAAAGTAGCAGTTCTGATATTTCCCTAAAGACTTTTTTTCCTCCCTTTTAATAATAAAAACTATTAACTACAAGTAATAGTTCACATTATTTTGTACTACAAAAAGGGATGACTAAATTTGATTGCAATTGGTCGTCAATAGGTTGTCTGTGCTGCACAGCTAGCACTTTGTGTGAATTTGACAGGATTAAATCATTCAAATGCTTTCATGTTTTGCCTCTTGTAGCTACGAAACCTGAATGTCCTGGACCTGCGGCACATCTCAGAACTCAACAATGAGACTGTGATGGAGGTGGTGAGGAAATGTCACAACCTCAGTTCCCTCAACCTCTGCCTCAACTGGAGCATCAACGACAGGTATTTCAAATCAAGTTTATTTGTTTGTATAGCCCAGTACCACACACAGTGACACATTTAGTATAAGTTCAAAGTTTTATAATCCAGCAGTGATATTATAATCCGTGTTGGGCAAGTTACTCAGAAATTGTAATAAATTACTTGTTACTTAATACTCCTTAAAAAAGTAATAATATTACTTTACTAATTATTGGTTCATAAAAGTAACTAGTTATGTTACTATATTCAGGAATTCAGTATTTTCACAAAACGTTGCGTTGCTTAATGCCACTCTCTCCCAGGAGTCACTGGCATCACTGGCAGTAGCGGCCGGGGTTTCTTTCTATAAGTTTCATGTTGCTGTGCTGCTTCAGCAGATGCTTCAATAAATTAAATATAGAATTGTTCGCAGTTGAAAGCTTTTTGCTGGTCGCGCAAAGTTTACAACGGATGACAATGTTCTTTGCATCTTAGACTGTGACACAAAAATGGTGATACTTACAGCTTTGGAAAGAACACCTCTGTCCCTCGTTCTCTATTCTTCCTTTAGTTTTTGGCTCAGAGCTGACTTGAACAACACAAAGTCTGGTGCCGCTGAGCTGTCGCGCATTCATGTCAAGGATGGTGCGTTTAGTAACACAGTAACGCAGCGTTACTTGGATTAGTAACAATAAGAAAATTTTACAGTAATGCGCTACTTCCCAACACTGATTATAATAAATCTAATACAATGCATTCAACATTGTTAGACCCCAAGGACACGTACACACACACACACACACACACACACACACACACACATTCAAATACTTGAAGTAAAAACACATCATACATACATACTTTACTAAAACAGATACGTTCTGTATGCAAACATGCAAGCCTGCAAACACTGGCACAAGGTAAGATAGACCTAGGAATTAAAAACACAAGTTGAAAGCACAACAAGAACTTTTATTTTCTTTGTTTTTTTTCTCCCTGGTCATTTTTCTTTCTGCTCCCACTCCTTTTTTACTTTCCTCCCTTTTCTTTCTCAAATGGGAGAGAACCTGTACATTGTATGACTGCTAGAGTAAACCATCTCCTCTTTTATTTATTATCTGGTGTTTTATTCATATGTTTCTATTTAATCTATTGATTTACAGCTAAGGCTGTGGCTTCTCTGCCAACTGTACTCCCACTCTGGCTTAGGAGTGTGAACACAATATTGAATTTACCATGGTGCATAGCAACAATGGTTGTGTGTGTGTGTGTGTGTATGTGTGTGTGTGTGTGTGTGTGCATGTGTGAAATCATTCTTGCATTATTGAGTTTACAGCAGACATGTGGTGGGGAGGTTATGGTAATACCGTACCTGCCTCCTTTCAATCAAAAAACATGGAGTTTGGTGAAAACCTCACAGGAGCACATGGTGTTATCAACTTCTTTCCTTTATCACACTCATACACACTCTCTCTTTCTCACACATACACACACACACACACACACACACACAAGTGCAGCCTCGATTGATTTAACACTGCGTTGATTCCATAATGATATTTGCTGCATTGGTTCAGAAGCTGAAGGTGTATGTGTGTTTGAATGGATTTGTCTGGGTGACCTGTGGGAATATTGGAATTTAAAATGGTGTGTGTGTGTGTGTTGGTGGCAGTCTGTGTGGGAGATAAAGCCAGGATGTGTGCTAGGTGTGCGTGGCAGCATACAATAGGTGCGCTTTTGGCTTGTGAATGAAGCAGACAGTAGGGACGTGAAGGGCCGAGGTGGACAGTCATAGCTGCATGCTTGCTAATCTGATGCTGCACTGCTCCACCCCAACGCTGGGTCGTTTGCTCTGCCCTGCCTGCTGGACCTGCAGATCTGTGTGTGTGTGTGTTTGTGTGTTATGTGTATAGTACATACTGACTGCAGCTCAAGGACTGCAGCAAATAAAAGCCTCCATTCAAAAGCTCCTTTATTGTTACGGTCACACAGCTCAGCGCGAAGAGGAATGGATGGGGTTTGCTTAAAGGGAGAAACTGAATGGGCGGTTGACTGATAGTAACAATTGAAGAGGTGTATGTGGAGGTGTGTGGGTTTTTCCATCGGTCGCCCCAAGCCGCGATGTCACAAGCCGCGCCATGATGTGTTTCCACTACAGCCTCACAGTAGGGGTTAACCATGCTGCGCCGCACTGCTGTGGTCCTACTAGCAAGTATACAATTCCTCCCTCACCTAAGCCTTGTCATCACAGCCAATAGAGAGTGCAATATCATCACAGTCACCGGATAGGCTCAAGAGTGTCGTCATTCGATGTTGTTTACACCTTGGATGTTTTGTGGGCATAATATCTTTCTCCTTATACACCTGTGGTTAACATCAACACAAAGGAGACATGTGACGCTGTGATTACATCAGCGGCTAGAAATTCCCCACACATGAGCAAGGGGTGCGAGGTAGGCAACGTGGCCCGCCTGCTCATGGCTCTTCATGGCAAAAATGGAATTATCGTATTTGTGTGTGACAGAAGGCGAAAAAGGGAGAGCCTGGTTTGAAGACGCACAATTTAAAGACTGTGGTTGGGTTGAATTACACTTTAAGGATTTAGATCAAGTTCTGCCGATTTGTTTGGACTGCTCTACCCGCACCTCCCTCAACAGTGTTAGATCAGGTGGCAGAGGATGAAGTGGAAAGGACTGAGTGAGACCTCAGCAACATTTTTTAGGAAATTAACTGAATCCAAACATACTCTTCCTACTATGATATCGCTCTGCTTGCTACAACTCATGAGGTAGCGGTCAAGACCAGTTTTATATGATGGGCGGTGTTAGTTAGTTACCCTAAATCACATTTGATTGAATAATTTATGTACATGAGCTCTTTATGAGTCATCCAAAATATTTTTTTAATGTTTTACTGGAAGAGAAAACACATTCACACACAAGAAAATACTTTTTGCCAACATCTTTCTACTCCTATAGTATGATAATAATGAGGACCATGATTCAACAGGAATCTGAATCGATAAGCAGAATCTGAGTATGAATTGATAAAATCTAAAATTAAAGTTAGCTAACACACATCACGCACGCACGCACACCTGTATTAAGCTGGACAGCCATACACACACTCCAGCAACAGTAATCTGATAGGCTGTTTTAAAGAAAGATGTTATCGATGATGGTTTTCTGCTATATGTTAGTGTATTTCCACACAGAGTTAGAGAGAGAGGCTGAAATTGTTTATTTGGCTCAAGTTCAAAGAGTCAAAGGTCATCAGGATCACTGCTTCCGGGGATGCCAGCACATATAAACCAGGTCCTTGCTTGTTGTGACAGTGACCAGAATGACTAAACCTTCCCTCACTCTGAGGGTACAGCTGGGTCAGCTTTTGCTTGTGTGTCTCAAACGGATGACGGTGTGCTGTGAGCAGGTAAACAGACAGAGGAAATTACCCCTTATTTTCAGGATCAATTTGTCCCCCGACAAGGGGCCGTTGGAAAGATAGAGCTCTGCGGGAGGTAAAGCATTTCAGTCCTTTTCCCATCCCTTCTTCTGTTTTTCTCTTTCTTCTTATCTCTCATCTTAAAAAAAACCCAACACTCTGTCCTCTGGCTCCCCTCATCTTCCTCAGTAATAGCCGAAAACAGCGTCTCAGTCTAAGAAAGCGAGAAATGATGACCAAATACGGACTTCCCGTCGCCCCAGTCCGACGGGCAGATTGTGACAGTAGGACGCCTAATTTTTGGTCACTGTCATTTCTTGGGGAGTGAGGATTTTATGTGCGGCAGGTGGGCAGTGTTGGCCCCGTTATTTCTCTGTATCCTTCTTCCAGTGATGATAGGAGACCAAAGTGGGATTGTGTTTTTCAAATGTCACAGCGTTTGAAAATGGGTAGTGAGTCATGATCAAAGTGAAACGGCGGAGCCAAATGGTAGCGCTCACTTTTTAGAACCAAGTTGAGAACACAGTGTCAAAGTTAAACGGTTTCGCAAACTCCGGGAGCCTCTGTGTTGTGTGCATTGTACCTTGGAGATTTTTGTTACCATTGTGTGTCTCTGTGTGAAGATTCTTTTATATCTGGATACCCGTTTTTTTTTTTTTACCTAGGGGAGACCGTGTTGATTTAGTATAATTTGTCATTTGTATATTTTTTAAATATTCATATTGTTCATATCACTTTTTTCTGTCAGAAGTAAAGAGATAAAATATGCATTTTATGCGAATCTCATGTTTGTGCAAGTGTAAGTGTAAGTGTAAGTGTGCTGCAATACATTCTGTGGTGAAGCCTCCTCAGTTGTTTTGCCCAAAGCACACACTCAGCATCTATTCTGCTAACATTAACCCTTCCCCTGGACCCGAGGCCTCTGGTGACATGCGGATTTCTGCGTGTCCCCGTCTGTGTTCGTCTTCGCCTGTTTGTGCGTTTGTGAGCAAGCTCTGGTCAGTTGGCCTGTAGTCTTTGCAGAAAGCAGATGCATGGAGTGAGTGAGTCATTTCTTTTATGAGATCTGTATTGTTGGAAGTTGGGCATTTCCCAAAAGCCCTGGCATTCTTTCCTTCTCTTCCTCTCTTTTCCTTCATCTCTCAGTCTTTCCGACAGCTTAACAGGGGAATCAATATTCATCCCTTTTTGCTTCTTTGCTTTTTTTCTTCAGGCCAACAACCTCTGCATATCTCTGTCACTTATGAGTATCACAAATCACAGCCCAAATTGGCTTTTTTACATTTTTGTCCCCTCTCACAGAAGTCGGACTAGATGAGGGATGACCTGGGGCCCTGTCTGACTTTCTGGAGCTTATTAAGCAGGAAATAATTGGAGAAGCATTCTCCCAGAAACACACCTTCTCTAAAACTGTAGGGCGTGTGGATTTGGAGGCGTTTGCATTGGAAGCTCATTCCAAATGGCCTCTGTTGCAGCCAGCTGGCAGATCTCACAGTGCCTGGAGAAGTGTTAAACCCCAAAATCGAATAAGTATATGATACATCAGTGTGATCAATGACGTGTCAGATGACAAAGATGAGTTGGTTGCTCTACTTTGCTTG